ATATAATATATATATAGACGAACCCTATGATTGTACGGCAGTGAAGCATCAGTACCAGCACTGTTGTTGCTGTCTTTGATGATGATTTTCACTCACTCAGCACCAAAACGACAGAAAGGAAGGCTACAGAATTGCGAACACATGAGATCGGAAAGTCACTTTCCATGACTTAGTGGTCCTGTCAGCCCATAGAAAAAATATGGGTTATTGTGGTGTGGGATATTTATCGAACACACCGTTGATTGAGGAGCATCGTAATCCATCAGGGGATTGGATTTTGCAGTAAAGAATTTATACGGGTGGAAGAAATAGCTCCTAGTTTTTAGTATCTGGCTCGAAAAATCCTTCACGGGAAGCAGAAAAAACAGCCGAACTCGGTCCCAGCTGCCAGGAGCTCCAAGTACTGCACAGCCAAAGCGGTGAGCATTGGGTACTCTAAAATAGACGAACGATACAATGAATTAAAACGCAGACTCCGAGGCAGTGGGTAGTCCAATCAAGTCTCAACTGAATGGTATCGGCACCTTTGGTGAAACCCAACAGGGGACGCATCAGGACCGCTGTTTTTTCATGTAAACGTGGGACACGAAGGACCTACATAGGCAACCTAACAATAGGTTATCTAAGGCGTGGAATCTGCGAGAGTAGTGGACTTTCGATACGTTTAGCATGTATCCATCGAAATGGTTTCTCGACAGATAGGCGATTGGTATTCGGTAAACCACGCCATGGTGAGATGAAACTGCCTGTGGGACAAATGCACGCACTAGAACCACTCATGAGATGGAGTCCTTTCAGTATCAGGTAGGTAGCGCTATCGAGAATCACAATCGCAGTGTTTGTACACCCGTGACGCCAAAATCTATTAGCTGAACTCTGTGGCAGCAGTCAGTCAACCGAACAAATAGGAAGAAGTAGCTGTCTGCGTTAGCCTCAAGGGCTTTATCCGACATTAGCAGCACCTTTGTCGGGTTACGTCCGTGTCTAGCGCCAATTTCGTTTTCTTCAGTTGTATTCAGTCATACGACCGACAGCGATTAGATCGCCTTTTGCGATAGCAAGGTCGTCAAGAGTAGGATGCTCCTGACTTTGGAGGCACCTCATCAGTTTAGGCGCCTCCATTTACCGCTTAGAGCGTCGAAGCCTACCTTAATGGAGTCGAAACTAGACCCAAGTCGCAAGTCCGTTTACCCTGCTTTCATTGGCACCCATATCGTCTTCATAATGTTACTTGATAACGTGTTTCCACTTTCCGGAACAGCTTAACTCGAGATAGCTAAGTGAACAATTTTGTGATCACTCCGAAAAGTTTGAAAACGCTGAAGGGAAGTATTCTTCTGGTAAATGGTTCAGTCCTGTTACGATCTTGGCAATGTACTGCAGTTGACCTAGCACTCAATGGACTGTCCTAAAGTGACGATTTATTGGAATTTCAGCCAAGGCGCATCTGTTTGAACGTTACCGCAATGCACCAAGCCAACAGCCTACTTATGGAGAAAATTGAGTTTCCATATTAGGTCCAGTCCATAGTAGAGGACCAAGTCGCAGCAGCGAACTGCATTCAGAAAAGCTTTTAGGATGAAGGGTCCGCCAAGTTCAAGCTGAGCTGAGCATAATGATGGCCAGTAGTGGGATATCACGTGCTACGTTTGGCAGGACTTTGAGTCTATCAGATGCAGCGTTCGGTCGTGCCGAACCAGTGATACCACAAAACTTACCATTACACGCACACCAACAAAAACGTAACAACCTTCCTTTACTTGATCCGTCACGGCATCAACTGACCCACAAGTGGGGTGTGTTGTGTCGACGGCCCTCGGTCGGGGGAAGCTTTTTTCAAGGGAGAATCCCCTATGATCTGAAGGAGGCAATTGAGGCATCATATTTGAGGACCCCAGATGGTAAAGCATTGCTTACTGGAATGAGGGACAAGTACCAGAGTTCGTCTGCGTATCAGCAGACATTCACGTCACATCGCACTAACCAGAAGCCAACACACACGCGCTTGTTGCCTGCAGTCTTCGGAGATAAATCACAAAAAACAACAGTTGACACAGTAAGAAACGATAGCAGTGATGGACGCACCGACCGCCTTCTTGCTTTGGATGTGCCGCACTTCCCGACATCTTGCTTCGTTGATGACCAAATCAACTACCACCGTATCCGCTTGAACTCACCCTTCGCCCTGGGGCTGTATTAAGATGGATATGTACGCGGTCAGCGTTACTCGGTGGTTAAGGCGCAAGGCTGCTCAATGGCAAGTCCATGAATCGAACCTAATCCTTGCTCTTTGGTTGGTGTTAACTAGGCTTTCGTAACCTCTCGACCCTCGTGCTTTCTTCGAATCGCGTTGCGGCAACGCAACAAAAGGGTGTATATCCGTAATGCCACAGGGCCAGTAGGTCTGGAGCGCACGAACAAATGATCAATATAAAAATAATTATTCGTTCAGCTGCAACATACTCCCGGCGCGCAGCTGCCATGCCACCAGAAAGAAGCACGGGGGCTGGCATACTGCAAGGTTGTCCAAGCCTAAACAGGGGAAGTCGGGCTCCAACCACGGACATTCCGGTCAGTGAATTCGCGCTCTAACCACTTGAACCACCAATGAGATAAACAAGTCCTTTCAGTCCGTGCACCTCCCTGCCTAGGCCTGGGCAACCTGGCAGTATCGAAGCCGTCGAGCCTCCTTCTGGTAGCATGGCAGCAGGCACCAGAAGGTTGCTATGGTTGAACAATTTTTTCAGTGCACCTGAGGTTAAGCGAGCTTCTTCACGAAAATTTGTCGGGCAATCGAAGGCCTCTCTGCTGTGTAATATGGCGCTGCGGGACCTCTTGTTCAACTCCAGGCTTTTGTTAAGGAAGCAGTTAGGAAATAGCGCAAGACAAACAGGAAAGCTCTTAACAAATCAGCTACCTACACAGTAGACTTATGAGTCCTCATTTGCGCAAGACCAGCTTTCCGGTAAGGAGTGAATATGTATCGACATGTATTGCAATGAAACAAACGAGGTATCAGAAATCACTGTATGAAGTGGAAAAAACCCCATTGTTCTCTACTTAGTGCGCAAGACGGTCATTATGGCAGCTTAGAAGTAGGTAGGTAGGACACTGAATTTCCAATGGAGAAAATCGTACAAATGGGCCCGCAACCAAAACTTCACCGGTAAATCGGAACACTTGGAACTTTAAAACATTAAGCAATTTGCTAGCAACAGTGGAGTGAGACCGCCGCTCGTGTTGGGTCTATTTCATAGATCAATCCTCCAGAACCCTGTGAAAGCCTATTCGTTGTCTCAGATAGTTTTATATTTTCGGCGTCATCTTGGCAACTGAGCAAGCTCCAAATTCGCTAAAGCCCTTTTATCTTTCTATACGATAATCACTTTTGTCAACCACGCGTGGGCTTTACATTACTGGCTGGCTCTCGCGTAACTGCTGGCAAAGCAGAAGGGAAGTGGTGACGGCTCTTGTAATATCATAGCTAAAACGAGTGATGGGATCGGTGTGAGCTTACATAAAGGCGCAATAACCTTCGTGTCTTTTCGGAGGATCCTCTGATACCACGTTGGAGGCTGGACAGCATTCGAGCGTATAGACTATCTCCAGAGCCCATATTGCAAGAGGCCGGCCAAACTGTTCTTTGAAGCGTTCGGCCCATCTCTCTAGTAGACGCTTTCGCGAGTGAATTAATGAGCTGTCCTTTCCGCTCGTCGTTTCGCTGACTTACTTTCCTAGGACCGGGTGGTGTGAGGCACGGCTGTTTCTGTAGGATAACCTTCACCATATCCCGCACTCTCGATGCCCACCAAGGCATTTGGCGTTTAGCGACTTCAGTGCACCATCGTACTCGCTGCCATTGCGTGGATGAAATCAAATGGTATACCCTAGAAGGAACGGCAGTCTGACCCGCTCGGCTGCAGTGAGCTGGCCTAACCCAAGAGCGCAGGGAGTAACGCGTTACTGTCTCAATTCTGATGCGGCTGCGCATAACAGGTGCCTTTTGAGCAGAACGTTTGGCTTTTTTGTAGTTTTTCTACCGTATTGAGCAACGCGCTGTTGTTTGGCCACCTAGTCTGAGGAAAATCAATCACTTGGATAACCGGTATCAAACCGAGATATGGGCTTGGTCTACTGAAAGATACCTCGGTGAGTCACACACGTTCATATGCGGTGTGGAAGTGAGAATCGTCTTGATGTTAAGTTAGTGGCTCAGCTGCCGTGATTCCACATTTCAGGATACAAGGTGATGTACTACGAACGGCAACAACCTATTTTCAGCCATGTACTACAGTTATTAGACGATTAAAGCGTACATTACGTCTTCCTATTCTGTCTCCTTTCTAATCCCGTCCTGGAACTTCTCGACTCGCAACAATTTAATCGTCTAATAAAAACGAAATGGATCATATTCTCCGACCTACGGTTTTTGATGCCGATCCTCACTCATCAGATGGCATGAAACGATGGACTCATTGGTTCCGTACTTTCAAAGCTTACATTAACTCAGTCAAACCCGAAGGTCTAAATAAATTGGAAACTCTCATTCGTCACATCGACCATACAGTGTATGACTTCATCGCAGAATGCAGCGACTACGATTCTGCGATAACCTTGCTGGAAAAACTTTACATCCGCCCGAAAAATATCGTGTATGCACGCCATCTTTTAGCCACATACAAACAAGAACCTGGTCAGGATGTCGACCAATTCGTTCACAAATTGAAATCGCTTGCTAAAGACTGTGAATTCAAAGCAGT